AAATCATTCTCAAGCTCCCTAGTTTTCCAAGCCAGTTTTGTGAATGGCTAAAATGATCAGCTAATCACTTTCAACTCCGCACTTCCTGAAACTGAAATTTTAAAAGCCGGATTCCATCAGGGGGAGTTGATGAACAGTGATGGAGGCAACTTTGGTGTTAAACTAGTCGTCATTCACATTTTTGGTAATAGTTATTAGCATGGCTTACTGGACTAATAATTTACATTAAAGCATGTAATTCATTATCATAATACTGTTCATTCTGCAAATGTTGAGCTAGTAGCAGAATGTACAAAATTATCCTTCAGCTTACAGCTGACCATATTCATTGCACACAAGAAATTAAAAAAAAATCTAAAATGACAAAATAATGGTAATAAATGCTTATTGTTGTGCTTGCTGGTCAGTGCTTGCTAGCCAGCTGCCACGTCAAAATTCAAAATATAACGAATAAATAAATAAAATCTCCCTTATGCCTACAATTGTCATGATTCAGGTGGGAATCTTACTAAATAGTGTATTAATGTGGAGTATCCCTATGTATGTGTGCGAATTCTGTGTTGTATTTGCCCAAAGAGTCAGTATGCATGTGAACACAGGGATTATGTAATTCTAGGGAGTGTTGGTGGGTGAATGAAGGGGTGTAATTGGACCATTTTCCTTCTACTCGTCACAAGTCAAACCATTTCTCCATATCGCCAGTCCATTCTACCCCCCAATTGCCAGTATTAGTATATTCTCCATCCCTCATCTCCCCATAGTTAGTGGTAATCCATTCTCTTAATTTATCTCCCTAATATCAACAGTAACCCTCCCCTCAATTGCCAACACTAGCCTAATCTTATAATTTTAACATAGGAGATAAACATACTATCTGCAGTACTTACTGCTTAAACTGCTTCCAGAGATTCTGGAGGTATGAGGTGCTCAACCCAGTAGAATCTGGTCTGGAATCCAAATATACACAGCAAAAAGGAACTGGGAAGCACACCCAGAACATGCATTTCTCAGAAGTGATGCTGCTGTAAAGACCAAAATAGATGTGCAATACGGATTAAGTGAACAAAATACTGTTCTGGATGTGCCCCTTATTCCCTTTTTTTCTACTATTTGCCTCTGTGTTGTATTGTAGTGTGAGTGCCACCCAGGGCCGGACTGGGGATACAAAGCAGCCCTGGAAAAAATGTTGTGCCAGATATTGTCGCGTGTAATATGTAAGGCTATGTCTTGCCATGACAGATGATTGAGTAATATATATATATATATATATATATATATATATATAAATATTGCTTTTTCTAATATAAAATATTGGTCCTTTCAGGGTAAAACGTTTAATTATACAGTAAGCATACTCACATGCAGACACAGGCAATTTCACTGACATCTCAATGACACACACAAGCTCACTCACTAGCAGGCACACGCATGCAAGCAAGCTCACTCACTAGCAGACGCACACAAACAGCTTAATGTAGTGGTACTGGTGTCTATAGCATGTCCCTACAGGCTTTTCAACGTAAACACTGACTTTTCAGAGAAAAGGCAGTGTTTACATTGCTTCAAAGTGACACTGCTAGTGACAATCACTCAGACGGTCACTAGAGGTGCTTCCTGTGACAGTGCACCTACATTCAGGGCCTCCACACTCTGTAGGTGCTGAACGTTCCCCATAGAGATACATTGATTCAATGCATCTCTATGAGGAGATGCTGATTGGAGTTGCGTTTTGCAGCCAATCCTATGGCAAAGCATTGGATTGGCTGAGATCATCAAGCTTGATGATCTCAGCTATAGAGACAGGGCCAGTCTCCCCCAGCGGCCGCCAGCAGACCTCCCCCAGCGGCCGCCAGCCGACCTCCCCCAGCGGCCGCCAGCCGACCTCCCCCAGCGGCCGCCAGCAGACCTCCCCCAGTGGCCGCCAGCAGACCTAGGTGTCTGCCCGGCCCCAGGTGCCGACGGCCCACCAGGATTTTTCCCGGTATCCCGGTGGGCCAGTCCGGCCCTGGTGCCACCAAATGGAGTTTTATCCACGTAGCACCAATAGGCAAAGCTTCATGAGGCTCATACTATAAGATAATTAAATGTATAATTAATTAGTGCAAGCTTTATGGAACTGATTAGAACAACCTAGTACATACTCTATGTAGCTGTACACATTCCTCCTACCAGCAGCTCCAATAGTTGAGGCTCTAAAATGCTGCCACCAGCTTCATTACTACCCACTCAGTCAGCTCTCCAGGGCTCAATGTCCATTAACTTATTATGAGTTTAGGGTAGAAAAATATTGGTCTCTGGTGGTGGTGTGACGAAACACCACTGGGGATGTGGTCAGCCACCTTAGAGCGGGATCCTCACAATGACTAGGGTTAGGCTATATCTCCCCCCACCTGATCTTAGTATGCAGGCCTCTGCTACCATCTCTCAGGATTAGCTCTTGCTTAACATGTCCCCCTGGAACTAGGGACTAGTGCTGCCGCAAGCAGGTCTGAAGACTCTGCTACTGGAATCCCTAAACGAACTTGAAAGGGCAAACAGTTACCAATGAAACTAGCAAACACTACTTTGTTTTGAACAAGGACTACCCTTTGGTGACTTGTTCAGGCAAATGTAGTGAAAAACATTTAAAATATAAATAAACAGATTTTTGGAGAACAAGCAATTATATTTAATGCATTAAATACATAATATGATCACAACTTTCTAACCTATGGAAATATTGAAATATAGAGATGTAACTGGTTACTTGGTTGCAATTTTCTAATTTGCATATAATTATTATACAAAGCAATGCATTTTTCAGTTTCACCAACAGGGGGTACTGGAGAGTCATCACGGGTAGTGTTTTATCTGCAGTGATTTCTGCAAAGCAGTGCAGCTATAATGAGAATAAATTGAGACATGAATAACGGAAACTCTCTGCACTGCAACCTATGCAAGCAGTATGTGTCATTTTGAGTATAGCAACTTTATGCCTATAATCCAGTACTGTCAACAGGAGCATATTCAAATTAAAATATCTAATTTGGAGAATGTATGAGTCATGTTATAGCTGCTTCTTTGACACACAATAAGTTATCACTTAAAGGGACACTCCAGGCATCAATACATCTTAAATGCATTTGATTTTGGAGTGTAATATGCTGCATTTTTGCTTGATCAAATCTGTATTACATATACAAAATATACATTTGATAATGAAGTCCTTTTCTGAAGTGAGGGAACTTGGCTTAAGAGTCAGGGTTATGGTGTAGCACTCTGTAAAACATTAATTTTGTATGAAAAAAAATATAAAGATTTGAGCATGCAAAAATATAGCTTGTGAAATAGGCCTAACCTATGCATTAAAATGCATTAAAGTAGTATGCATGCCTGGAGTGCCCCTTTTAAATCATGCTACATTCATAGTAAAATGGCTAAATTAGTTGATAACACAATTATGTAAATTGTACAATATTAGTTACATTTAACAAAACTGAGTTAATTCTAAATCAATAGAAAAAAAGACTAGGGAGAATTAGGAATGTAGCCAAAATACCATTTCGCTAATAACTGCAATTTAGCAACTAGTCTAACAATTATTCCAAGGACATTCTGGCTCCCTATATAGGCAACTTAAACATTTGATCATGAGCTAAGTGTGACGGAGGCTAAATTTAATACTTTATTAAAAAAAAAAAAAAAACAACAATGTCTGCAATCACAGCATGTTTACACCTAAATGTCTGGAATGACCATTACTAGTCCTGCAATGTCAGCATTCTCTTCATCAGTAGGAGAACATGAACAATTTAGACCACATAGCCAGTTTATTATCTCCAAGAACTATAATAATTTTTTTTTTGTAATATACATTTTTATTGTTTTGAAAAGACATAAGGAAATGAAGTACAGAAATGAAGAAGGGAAGGCACAGGGCTAATATCTTAGAGTGTATACAAATCCATTGTTATCCTGCTAGATTATGGGTATACAACAATCTGGTATATAGTGCTAGCTGCGTTGTTATCCTGGCTTGCTACGTTCGCAGTATATCGATCTGAGTATTAGCTGCCGCTATCTCCAAGCAGGGTGAACCTCAAGCCCTGAGTCTTACCTAAAGCTGCCTAGTAATCCAGCTGGCTGCAAACCTGAGTTATCGGATACGTCTTCAGTAGTTCTTGTTTAATTTACCTGTGGGGATGACTGCCCTGTGTTACTCTCAGAACTAAGAGTAGGTTAGAACACAGGGGAGTATAGTGGGGGGAGGGGGTGGGTATGGAGGGGGGGTTAGAGTGGTGGTGGGGAAATCCTGCCTAAGTTGATATTATTAAACAGTCTGCGTTTCCGTGGTGTTCTTTGCCACCTGGGTTTTTGCGGTAAGTGCTTGGGAGAATAGCCCAACAGACCAGTCCTCTACTTCGATGAGTGGCAGATCCAATGCCTGTTTGAAGTCCGGTTCATCCACCAGTGTAGTGATAGAGTGTGTCTTGCCTTGGTTTGTCACAATAATGAGCAAAAGGAAAGTTCTATCTGAATTTAAGTTGTCTCTTCAAGAAGGCCTTGGTGATGGATCTCAGTACCCGCATCTCTAGCAGAGTAGTGGGTGACAGATCCTAGTAGATGTCAACCGGATGGCCCTCAAGTTTTAGCTCATGCTTTTGACATGCTTTATGAAAGATTTCCTCCTTAAGTGAAAAGTTGTGGATACGGCATATAATGTCACGGGGTTTATCTGATGGTAGATTTTTTGGCCTCACTGCTCTATGTGTTCTGTTATATTTAATTGCTCTATCAGGAGGTCAAGTGAGGATTTGGTTAAAGAGAACAGTCAGTACCTCAATAGGGTCCTCCGTGGTTCCCTCCGTGCCCTCCGGTATGCCCCTCACCCTCAGGTTATTCCGCCTCCCGTGGCTGTCTACATCCTCCAACTTCCTTTGCAGGTATAGAATCGCCTCGGAGTACAATCTTTGTGTGGTGTGGCTTTCAGACCATTGCTGTTGTGCAGTTTTACTTTCCTCCTACAGGGCTTGAACCCTTGTGCCCAGTTGCTGGACATCAGCGCTGACTGCTTGCAATTTGTCGCTGAAACTCTCTTCCAGCCTCTGGAACATGGCTGCAATGTCCATTTTGGAGGTCATCTGGGAGAGTAGTGCCCTAATGTCATTGCCGTCTGTGGAGCATTCCGACTTCGATGGGCTGGAGGGCTGGCTGCCTTGTTTACTTTCTGGAGGTGCTATTTTGTTCCGTCTTTGCAGCTCCGGTTGATCAGAGAAAAACCTCCAGAGAGAGGACTTAGATGAAGGGTGTTCTGTGGCAAGGCTATTCCCAGCGGTGTTGCGCTGCTTTTTGGCTGCCATCACAGAGTTTACAAACCGGATTTCGCCATTCTCCCCCAGCTACTCACGGAGCTCGGGTTTCATGCGGCCATCTGTCTTGGAATCTTGCCCATACCCCCCAATAACTATAATTTAGGTGATGGGTAAAGTTTTATAGTTTGTTATTTTAAAAAAAAATTATAATAATAATTGTAGGCCTCCATGTACAGTCGGTAAAAGAGATGGCATTTTATCTATTGACTCGTACGTTTTTCTTACTGGTTCTATTTATTTAATAATCCAGGAAATATCAGGAAAGCATAAGGGAAATTCAGACAGTGAATGACAGTGTTGTTGCTTTTTAAATCCATATTGCTTTTCTGAAATCCAGGGAAACATTATCAATGTCATACGCAGTTAGGCATTTAATAATGGCTCCATGTCCTGCTCTAAAATCAGAGGGACTTTCTTCTGATGTGCACTGAAAAACCCTTGAGCACTCATGTATGGAATGTTATTAGAGTTTTATTGGGTTAATGCACTAAACAGCAAATTAGGGTGAATTGAAAATCAGATTGCGAAATTCAAGAAATAAATCATAACATAGTAATCTAAATGAAAAATAGACTAAGGTCCATCAAGTTCAAACTAATATGTCTGCAACAACTGTAAGATTAATTATAATGAGTTAAGGATTTTTCATATTTCCCTCCTTGGGCAGGGCCTTCCTTTCCCTCCTTAGAACAGTATTTATTTTTCTCTGATTTAACCAAATTTGAAATATTTGGGATTCAGATCATTTCAGACAATGAAAGTCTGCACAACAAATATTTCCTTCCCAATCAATTGAAAGGATGTCAGGTAAGATTTTATTAGGAAGAATTAGTTAATTAAGGATGAGTAAGTGAGTAAACAAAGACACCACTGCCATTCTGCTTGTACTAGACACTTTTGACCTCAGCCTCAGGGTATTTATTTAAATCACTTACTTCCATGGCTAGGACATTTGTCTGGACTGGTGGTGGCCATTGAGTAGATATCTTATTAAGATTCCAAGAGCTGTCTTTCCTTAACAGAGCTAATATTACAATGCAAACCTTTTAAAAAGTATTATTTTTTGATAATCATGAGTTTGTCTAGGTTATTGGTAGACATAGAAGATGTCTCAGCATCAGAGTGCTCCTATGGGTGGATTTGATGTCTGCCTGAGCAACACTCCCTTAACATTGACAAACTTAATTTTCTGCTACTCATAAGGGTACGTTTCTAACCACTCTGTTGCAAATTCCCAGCATGCACAGGGTGGTGTTCTTGAGGCTTCTTCTAGGGAATCCTTAGCTTCAAATATTGCATATGGTCATTCCAGCTGGAATGCTGAATCTGCATCAACTATCCCCTTACTATGGACTGAATTCTCTTAGAAGAGTATGGGTTTACTGTGATTGCTAAATACTCATTTATTTGTTAAACTTCAATGGAGGAATTGCTATTCAGTAAGCAGAGTAAATCTTTACTGTGCTAAGAGATTCCATCCATATGAGATTACATTTAAAGAGGTTCCATAACAATTTAAAATACCTGCCAATAGAATAAGATTTAGCCCACTAGATATCCACTTTCTCTAAACTCAAAAAGTTACACACTATACAAACAGTGGACATTTTAAGAAAGTGTATAGGATATATAAAAAATTCATCCAGCTTTCTAGTACTTGCGTCATCTTGTTCCCCTTTTCCCCCAACGGGTTAATAATCACATGCTGCAACAAGATATATCAATGAGAGAAGTGTTTCTATATTTTGAAATAGAAAATGAGAAAAAAAGAAATATGGAAATAGAAAATGAGTTTTATACATCATAATTAGTCCCAACTAAGGACTTAATTTAATATTCTTGTATAAGCTCTAACAATGTTTTTCTATATATTAAAATATTAAGAAATATATCAATATATAAAAAATATTAAAATATTAAAATATTTTTCAAAATATGACATTATTTGCAAATCTTAAATATTAATTGATATTAAATCAAGACATAAAATAGCTGAGTTGTCCTACAACACAAAATGGATGAGCACTGCATATAATCAGTAATAAATTCCAAATAAAAAAAAGAAAAGTCCAACACTCTCAAAAAAACAAAACAAAAACCTCCTTGCACTCAAAAATGGAGACTGCATCTCTTTCCTGCATAGTCCCCTGGGTCAGTAAACTTTTCTACTATATTTTTACTCAGTGACTCAATTTTTGTATGCTTTTTGTAACCACTTTAATGTTTGGAATTTCAAGATACAATGCACTTTTCAATTATGATGATACCGTCTCCATTTTGGAGTACAAGGTTTTGCGACACGAATATTTATTTTGAAGGGTCCTCTTTTATGTACCATGGAGACAATCAGCTGAGACAATGAGTACTTAGAATTTCTTCGTGTTATATTAAAAACTATGTTGTATTTGCAGTGGTAGCAGTGGACATATTTTTGTTTCTCGTTTATTTGCGCTACTATTTTTAAGTTTATAAAACCAAAAATTGCAAAACAATACTCATGGTTTGCCTGTGATTTTATATAACAGAAACCATATTAAAATAATAACCTTCTTTTGCTTTTACAACACATATTATAATACACAATTATTATTGAGTACCAAAAGGACAACCGAATTGTCTCAATCATTTTCTCAACATGCAATTTCATTTTGTAATAAGAAAACAGTTTATGTGAAGTTTACTTGCATAATTATGCAAACAGTGAATGTGTTATTTAGCTGTTCAAGCACTCTTTCAAATTTTCTATAGAACAACACCACACATTTGATTTTTGAAGCTTAAAATAATATATGCTGTAAGAGATTTAGCTCTGTTCTCAAAAGTGGTCAGAAAATGTAGTCACCAAATGAATTTGGCTGCTGGTTCTACTGGTTTCCATGTAGTCGATCGCATTTTCGGGCTTTAGACCACTTTTGAGAACAGAAAACTTTTGTGGTGTACTTGATCAAGTGTACTTGTGGACTCATTTATGTGGGTGAAACTACAAATAAAATGAGGGAATACATTTCTAAGTACAGATCTGATATTCTCACTAAAAAAACTATGAAGCTAATTCAATCTCATTTTCTTACCCATAACCACAATGTGCCACAAATGAAGTGGCAAAATTATTGACTGCACCTCTTTTTAGATACAGAAGCCTTCTGGATTGACATGCTTGATTGCTTAGAATACAATGGATAACTGGTGATTTCAACCTCACATGGCTTTTATGATGTTTTATAACTAATGTTGTGTATTTGTTTATAACTTCTATTTTTTTCTGTATTCAAAGAATTATTGAAGTGATGCCCTTTTGGCTACCGCAAGCTTCCCAGTTTATTATATTTTATTTTTCCTTTCTTACTATTTCTATTTTGGTATGTTACTTTGTATATATTATGCAGCAATTTTTTAATGCTATATATTATTCTGGGAACTGTTGTAGTACAGCCTATGTACATCTTGTTGTTTTCTATAGAAAATGTTGCTATGAGCCTGACGCTATATTGCATGTAAATTTGTCTTATTTCTTTATGCGATATGTGGGTAGCCTCACTTTAATTATAGTCTTTGTTGAGTGTTCTTTATATGCATACGTTATGCATACGTGTATTTTATTTGTATACCTTTACACGGTACACTATAGACTTTTTTATTGCTTATTTGAAAAACTAGTTTCTTGGAACCACCTTTACAATGCAGCTGAAATCTATATATCTACATTATTGTTTTCTTCAATAAATTTATGTTTTAATATAACACTATTCCCACTTGAATAAAGATAACATTTTAAGTAGTTCCGCCCTAGAGCATTTCTATATTATTTTTCCCACAATGAAATCAAAGATGCACCATGGGGCAGGAATAGAACCGTATAATTTATAAGTCTAAGTGAAACTACTGATACGTTTGTTTTGCAATTTTAAAATTTGAATGTCAAGTAAGATTTGAGTTCTAGAGTAAAAGTATATTAGCAAAGCTGTAAGAGGGATACTTCTATCCCAGCTCTAGCCATACTTAAAATGGTAATTTTCACACAAGTAGAGGAATACATACTTTGGAAAAGTATTCCTCATTTAAAGATAAACACTCTTTGTACATGAATTATTATTATTATTATTATTATTATTATGTTATTATTTATATAGCGCCAACAAATTCCATAGCGCTTTACAGTGGGTGGACGAACAGACATGTAGTTGTAACCAGACAAGTTGGACACACAGGAACAGAGGGGCTGAGGGCCCTGCTCAATGAGCTTACATGCTAGAGGGAGTGGGGTAAAATGACACAAAAAGGTAAGGATAGTATTAGACAAGTGACAGTTGCAAGAGAGGAATCAGTCGGGAGCTATTAACAGTTTAATTGATATGTTTTTATGAAGAAGTGGATTTTTAATGATTTTTTGAAGGAGTGGAGACTGAGTGAGCAGCTAACAGAGGAGGGAAGTGAGTTCCACAGGACGAACATCAGAGGTCGGAGTACGGACAGAAGATAGACGTAAGTCTTCATCAGAGCGTAAGGGCCTAGTCGGGACATAATTGTGTACTAGGGAGGACAGATAGGTGGAAGCAGCGTTATGTAGAGATTTGAAAACAATATACAAAATGTATTAATTTCATCAGAAACCCTAAATTCATTGGAATATTTTTTTTAAATCACCTTCCAGAAATCACAAAGTGAAATGTACTGCTAACTTTGTATATTAGAAAGCTAGAGCATTGGTAAACCAAGGTTTGAATCCCAGTTAGACCATAACACTACTTTTTCACCTCTTTCCCTTTTCATAACTGTAATTTTATGGAAAAAAATCATTTATTGGGGACAGTTAGATGGGCAGAACTTGTTCTCTAAGCTTTTCTGTTTTTTACAAAAAACTTAAATATCCAGAATAAAAATTCTCACCTGGAAAACAAAGGGCTCTCAAGCCATAGCTTGTGTTTGATAGCAAATACTGAAGAAAAATATGTGTAATGTCTATCTCCTATCATACTATGGAAATCAGG